CCAGCGAGGTAGCTAGACCCAGTTACCACTACTTCGCACGGTGCAGCTACCCGTCGTCCAGTCAATTCGCGGGTTATACCGTCGCAGCCAATCACGTCCCAGTAAAATATCGTGCCCATCCAGTGTCGTTGCGAGCATTTCCTGTGTAAACCCGAAATTTCCCCCGCAGCGGACTTTGACTCGTTCTACCTTTTCCCGTATGGCCAGTGGCGTGCGGTCGACTAAGCGTGCGTCTATCTCCGGTAAGCAACGGTTAAGTGTCAACTGTAGTTTTCGTGCGGTTGCGGTATTAACTAAACTGTGGCTTGCTCCTCCGTCGATAAAAATCTTCACTGCTGCTCCCTGTATTTTCCCGTGGATCAGTACTGGGCAATCCGTCGTTGTACCCTCCTTATTCATCCGAGCCCGATCGATGGCGTGAATCGGTACTGTGAGTCGGTGAGGGTCGGTGCGGTTGGGCGAGCAGGCAGTCTCGTCAGTAGTTGGCCCAACTTCTACTGACTGCTGGCGTTTCCCTGCCTCTGAGACTCCCCCCCCTGCTCTGCTCCGCGGCGCCTTAGCTCCTCTGGGCATTCGCTCTTGCGATGGCCCGGCCGGTTGCAAGCAAAGCAGCGCCCCTTAAACGATGCGGCAGCTGCATTCGTTGCAACAGCGTTTACAGTGGCGTGCTCGATCGGTCCCCGAGGACGATGTCCGTAGTAGGACCCCGGTCTCGGTCGGCGTAGAATGTCGATTTTCTCGGCGAGCGCGAGAATCTCGTTGAAGTTTGAGAGTCCGCGCAGCATGATTTCGTGCGAGATATCCGGCTTCAGCCCTCCGACGTAACGGTCCACCCGCTCCGTTTCGTGCATGTAGCCGACCTGCTCGCAAAGTGCGAGAAAACCGCTCGTGTAATCTTGAATCGACCCGAGCTGCCGCCAAGTGCGCAATCTCTGACGCGCCGAAATAGAAGCCGCGATCGGCTCGAAGCGCGCCCGAAGCCCTGCGCACCACGCATCCCACGTGCTGTATTGGGCGGTCTCGCTGAATGAACTCCAGGTGACAGCTGGACCCGTGGGCCCTTCCTCTTGCGACGGTGGCTCGTAGGCGCGTGGTGACGTCACGACGCCACCAGTCCATGGCGGGGCCCCTTAACAGCGAAACGTCATACCGAATCTTCGCTGCGTCCGACTCGACGTAATTCGCGTCGAAGAAGACGTTCATCGTGAAAACCCACGATTGAACCGTCGGACCTCCACGTTGGCTTGGGTCGAAGCAGGGCGGGCGTTGCAGCTTGAGTGGCATGGGTGCCATAATGGCCTGTTCGCCACTTGTCGCCGCGAACTCCACGTGCCGACGGACTTGACGAGGCTCCCGCGGGCTTGGTGCGACCCTGTTTCCTCCCATGCTAGGCATCGGCTGGGCGGCGCCATCACTGGCTGCGCCTGAGCGTTGTCCCACGCTGTCGTGTTGCGTTGGTGTGCCGGACGAAATGACGATCGGCTCGTCCGATTGTGCAGATGCATTTGTCGGTGTGTGTGGTGGCGCTTGAATATTCACCGTGGATTGTTGACGTGCGGAGTCACGTTCCGCCGTGAGCGTCGCAAGTTCGAGCGCCGAATCTTCAAGTTGGTGCACCAGACGGTCAAGCTGCTCCTGTGTCAATGTGGCGAGCGTGAATTCGGCCATGGCGGGGGTGTCGGGCGAGCTCAACGAGAGCCTCGGTCGTGGCCGTGCGTGCTTACGAGAGAGCACTACGAGTGGCGGTGCTGTGTCGCTGAGAGACGTCTACCCCCCCAAAAAATTGAGATAGTGGGGAAAGCGAAGGTGTGGGTGCGGTCCGAGAGGAGATCGTAGGCTCTGATACCAAGTGTTACAAGTGCAATTGAGTGAACGAACGAGAATTGCACTATCGAAGCAAGAGTACAATGAGCGAAGGCATGAGCGAAGAATATATAGCAAAACTACAGTGGTAACGGTAATGGAGTGTGGTTGTCGCGCGACGGGCCTGGGATTGAGGTTGGGTAAAGTGTCGAAGCGGAGGCCCGGAGCGCGGGTTACCCGCCGAGCCGTGAGGTCGGGGTGCGACGTGCGAAAGTGGCGGGCGGATTGTCGATGCGAGGATTGCGAGTGGTAATGGTGCTGACTGTGGTGCTACACTGATGTACGCGTTGAGCAGGGATGCGAAGTAAGGAAAAGGAATTTTCCTTATAGGATGTAAGTTTATACCCAACGGAGCAGCACGTCCAAAAACGAAGATTGGAGGGTAAGAAGACGCCCCATGTTGGGATTCCCGCCAGGACCCCTTGGCGAGTCGTTTGTAAGCATGGAAATTTTGGACAACATTGCGAACCGCGATACCAATCCGCGCATCGATTTGGTGGCTACACGCCTAAACGCTACGTCACCCTTTTGTTTTCTGGCGTTTCGGATATTTTACCTAAATATTTTGCATTGTCAGGTAGCCGTCGAAGTTTCGAATTCAAAGAGCCCCGCGACTCTCATCAATTTTGCACTGGCGAGAATGTTCACGCACGCGTAGTGGGTAGTCCACAGTGCTGGTGCTGGTAGCGTGTCACACCCAAAAAATAGATGAAGGTAGGGTTTTCTGGACCTCCATCCAATCCTTCCTCAGCCTGCCCCACATCCCGTCGGGTTGCTCAATTCAACATTTCCTAGCCGCATGTGTCTGGATGTCGACGCGTGCGTCAGTGGCTGGGCAGACTTGGAGAACCCAACACACCCATTCGTGGTTGACCGCACTGCATGGCTTGCCCTAGCGAGACAGAAATTGGCGAAATGCTCATCGCGCTCTGTTGCCGTCAACGCAATGCTGGAATGTGGAAGCCATGAAATGTTTGATGACGACCCAACGAAACAGATCCCAGAGGAATTCACGATGCCTTCCCAACCTTCGAATTTGTGTTTCCTGACCCTCTCTCCGTTGAGGGGTCCCTTGTTGGCAAGAAATATCGGGATTTAGGGCATAAACCTGGCAACACTGAATTATAAAAGAGGGTTCCACCGAGATGCTTAAGGTCATTCTGACACAGTTGCATAAGTCAGTAAGTCATTACTTAGGCAGCTGTGTGATTAACCACACTGTAGAGTCGAGCGCGTGCGTCGAATTCGGCTCAGCTTGGTAGACTGGGTAATGCATCCAGTCATTTCGGGCTGGTAGCTAAATATTGTGTATGGGAAGCGGAGCGGAGTGGACCGTCGCTTGACTGGGCTACAAAACACCGAAATGGGATACAGCCACTAGAAAATAACAAACCAGCCCGCGTTTCCTCTCTGCTGTGGGGCTGGAGCCTGGATGGCGCGCGTCACATGAACGGTTCCATTTTCATTTCATTGCATGCAGGCACGATACCGTCCTAGCAGATCATCCTCAGTAGACACAACGCCAACTCCCTGCGTCGCACGAGGAATCCCTCCCTACTCCCACCTTGTAGCTTCCATCGGTGGCATCCTCGCGAAATCGCCCCGCGGTCCCGAGTCATCCTCGTGTCTAAGGTTTCTCTGTGGCAACTATGCGCGGCCCTTTTCCCAGTGACAGATAGTAAGCTACCGAAAGGCTTAGACGCAACTCATCCCGTGAAGTTACACACGCTCCTCTTCACCGTGCGTCAGGTTTACGAGATGTCGATTAGACCGGCCCGATAGTTGCATGCGCTCGTTTATCGCACTTATCGCCACTGACCATTTCACCCTTCTTCCCTCCGTTTGCTCGCACCACCAGAATAATACGCGGGAAGGGAGGGGGTTAGAACAGTCCGTGAGAGCAGCAGGAGGAATCATGGCTGTCGGCGGTGCAGGCGGGTTGGTGGCGACAGATTTTTCCATCTTCCCCGCTGCACAGAGCCACTATATTCCTGACCAGGGATTGCCAGGGGACTATGGCAGTGTTATCGGTCGAGGCAACAGTAACGGTAACGGTGACGGAAACGGAAACGGAAGCGACGGTTTTTCTACCGCCGTGGCTGGAGTTGCAGATTACCGTCGCGCTGGCGATGCAGGTGCTGAAATCCGGTCGCCAGGAGAGGGGAGGTTGTGGAAGCGACGGGCGGGCGACGAGCCGACGGCAGCGTCGCAAGCGAGCTTGGCGACGCCGTCGTCAGCGGAGCAGCTGTTCGCGTCCCCGTCGCCATCGAAGCGTCGCTCGCCGCTGCGACTCACGCCTAGTGTAATTCTTTCGGTCCTCAGCTGCTTAGAGAAAATAACGAGAATCTGAATATGCCGTTTCCGCGAATCCTGCAGTACTGCTCGGAGATTAACCACAGGCCCTTACAAGCGACCTCTTTCAATCCTCCCGCGTATCATCTCCCCTCGAACATACTCCAATGTTCATTTCGATTATTATGTTGGGGAGGTATTCAACAAATTCCGCTGTGGCTAAGATGTCTGCCTACAGCCCGCTAAGCCGTTTTTGGTGCATACGGTGCGGGCCGTGCTGCTTTTGGCCGTCGTAGCGAGTGCGCGGCCGTACGCGAAGTTGGGCATGTTATCTCACACCCACACAACCGTTGCACGCTGAGTTCTTATCTAAATAGGTTGAGTTTTGTATGCGAATGGTTCGCAGATCTACGACATCACCAGTAATCAACGACCAATTCTTCCCCTTCCCCCCCACCTCCCATCCCGCGCTCCCTCCCCCGCCAATTCCCCACCAGTCCGCCCCGGCGAAGTCGCGAGGCGGAGACCGTTTCATCCCAAACCGTGGCGCCATGGACCTGGGCGTTGCGCACTTTCACCTCGTCGACGAGCCGCGCTTGCCGCTCCAGGGGCAGACGGGGCAGCTCGAGCTTTTCACCCCGCCCCCGCAGCAGCAGCAGCTGCAGCAGCATCAACAGCAGCAGTCCCCGTCCGCAGCAGCATCGGCGGTGGTCTCGCCGCTTAAAGAGAATTATAAGAAGAAGCTAGCAGAAAGTTTCTTGTCGCCTAGCCCGGGAAAAGGCCCCTCTCATCGGGTCAAGAGCGCGGGGGGCGCGGGAAGATGCGGGGGAAGTGGCGGGGGGAGTATGTGCGGAAGCGGAAGCGCAAGCGGCAGGGGTGCTGGCGGAGCGGGGTTAGGTAGTGAAGACTCGGGGGAGGGTTCCCCGGTTGGGCGGAAGATCTTTGCGTTTTTCGGTTCGGATTCGGGCGGCGGCAGCAGCACCAGCTTGCTCACGGAACGCGCGACGAATCTTCCACTTCTGGGTCCCGTGCTTCTCCCCGAGTCGCCCTCCAGCACACCGGCGAGGAGATTAAGACAAATATCCCTCGTGAGTATCGGGCGGCTGATTCTATATCCGTCATCGATCCGTCTGTCCGTCAGTATGTCTGTCAGTCGCGTGCATTCCGCCCGCCCTTCGTTTTCCCCGATCTCTCTAACACTGTTTTTCAAACTGTGAGTTTGAGACGTCTCAATATTTTGACCCGTTGCTCTTCGATTCCATCTCTCCGCCATCATCGTTTCCTCCTTCTGTTCGTCATTCGCCAACTCCGTGTCCTTGCGTCTCCCCCATCTCTCCCATCTCTCGCGTATCCCCTCCCCCCAACCTCTCTCCCACTTCCCACCCCTCTCCCCGCTTCCCCCTCTCCCCCTGCCCCTCCCCTCCGGCAGGCGTCGGAGCGCATACTCGACGCGCCGGAGATAGTCGACGACTACTATCTCAACCTGCTCGACTGGTCGTCGCAGAATCAGATCGCCGTCGCGCTCGGCACGACGGTGTACCTCTGGTCTGCGACGTCGGGCGACATACACCAGCTCGTGCACGCGGACGGGCCCGACGACTACGTCACGAGCGTCGCGTGGGCCAAGGACGGGCGGCACCTGGCCGTGGGGTTGAACAGCAGCGAACTGCAGATCTGGGATGCGAGTCGCTTGCGGCAAGTGCGGCGGCTGCAGGGGCACCGCGCGCGCGTGGGCAGCCTCGCGTGGAACGGCCACACGCTGTCGTCGGGGAGCCGCGATAGCAGCATTCTCAACCACGATGGTGAGTGCCGTCCGCTCAACAGATGATCCTGCGTAACAGATCAGTCCGTCCAGCGATGCCTGGGCTTGGCTGCCCCTCTCCGCGCTTCCCTCCCGCTTTGTCCTTATCCTTCTTCCCTCAATTCTGCCCCCTCGCGCGGCAGTGCGGGTGCGCGACCACGTGGTGAGCGCATTGCGCGCGCACGAGCAGGAGGTGTGCGGACTCAAGTGGTCGCGCTCCGGGCAGCACCTGGCGAGCGGCGGCAACGACAACCTTCTCTACATCTGGGACAACGCTGCCATTTCCTCCTCCTCCACCTCCTCTTTCTCCTCCTCCTCGTCCTTCCCTATCTCAGGAAATTCCTCTTTCCATTCCTCCCTCTCCTCCTCTTTCTCCTCGCTCTCCTCCCTCTCCGCCTCCTCCTCCTTACCTCCGCTACTCCATTCCTCCGCTTCTTTCTCCCCCTTCGCCTCATTTTCCTCCGCCACTGCCGCCGCTGCCGCTTCTCCATTCACCGGCTCGTCTCTCATAGCGTCTCTCGCCTCCTCCTCCTCCTCCTCCCTCCCATCCGCCGCATCTCTCGCTTCCCTCCTCGCCTCCTCCCCGTCGCCCTACGCCTCTCCTTTCGCCTCTCCGCATTCCTCTCTCTCATTCGCGCCGTCTCACCCCACTAAGCCTGCTGCCACAACTGCCACCGCTCCTGCCGCTGATTCTGCCCATGCAGCAACAGGTGGCGCTGGCACTGCTGCAGCAGCTGCTGCTGCTGCTGCGGGTCATTCGTTTCTGTCTCTAACCACCTCATCCTCATCGCCTCCGCCGCCATCCCTGTTCTCCTCCCCCTCCGCCTCCTCCTCCCCCCGCGCATCCTCGTTAGCACCGTCCCTCTCCTCGCACAGAAGCAGGGCGTCTCCCAACAACGGTACGCATCACCGCTCCCGTTGCAGCGTTTCCCCATCACCACATAACGGCTAACTCTCCGTCTGTCCTTCCACCCCACCACTGCTCTACTCTACGTCCCCCTCCATGTATCCATGTTCCTACCATGGCGCTAGCCCTCCCACGTTCTCCTCCCTCCTGCTCCCCCCCTCGTGACCCTTTTCCCTGCTTCTCCCCACAATGCTCCCCTGTTCCGCCCGACTCTCCCCAACGATCCCCCACATTCGCACCGCTTTCCCCCCTGCACTCCCCGTGTCCTCACTGCTCACTGCTCTCGGTCCCCCCTTTCCCCCCCACAGTGCGCTACCTGCACCGGCTGACAGCGCACCAGGCGGCGGTGAAGGCGCTGGCGTGGTGTCCCTTCCAGAGCCACCTGCTGGCATCAGGCGGGGGCACAGCAGACCGGTGCATCAAGTTCTGGAACACACAGACAGGGGCGCTCACCCACTCCATCGACACCCACTCACAGGTCTATACCCACCCCTCCCACCACTCCCCCCCCCCCCCCCCCCCCCCCCCCCCCCCCCCCCCCCCCCCCCCCCCCCCCCCCCCCCCCCCCCCCCCCCCCCCCCCCCCCCCCCCCCCCCCCCCCCCCCCCCCCCCCCCCCCCCCCCCCCCCCCCCCCCCCCCCCCCCCCCCCCCCCCCCCCCCCCCCCCCCCCCCCCCCCCCCCCCCCCTCCCCCCCCCCCCCCCCCCCCTCCTCCCTCCCTCCTCCCCTCTCTCCTCCTGCACTGCTGCTCTTCCGCTCGTATGTTTCTCTTCCCATGGCTGTTTCTCCGCTCTCTACGCCCGCTATATTCTTCCCGCCCACTCTCCTCCCCGGTAATATCACACCACCACATCCTAGCATCCTCAACCACCTTGCTGTTATCTGTCTTCTCCCCCCCTCCCCCTCTCCCCCACCCCCCCCTCTTGCCTAGCTCCAAGCCACTTGCTTCAACTCTTAAACACTCCCCTCTCTTCCCTCCTCTCCTCCCCCTCCCCAACCCTCCCCTCCCATCTTCCCCCCCGCCTTCTCCCCACGCCTGTGTGTGCGCTCTCCTTGCTGCGCGTGGCAGGTGTGTGCGCTGGAGTGGAGTCGGCATGAGAAGGAGATCCTGTCATCACACGGGTACAGCCTGAACCAGCTGTGCCTCTGGCGCTACCCCTCCATGGCCAAACTCGCTGAGTTCACCGGCCATACCGCTCGCGTGCTGCACCTTGCCCAGGTAACTGCCACTTGCCAACCACTTAGTTGTGCAGATGAAACTCAACCCCCACCATGCTTCAGTTGATGGAAAAATCAGACTGTTGTGTATGTATCACCGAAATTGTCCAAGAAGGTTGTAGTAGCACCTGAGCTGGCATATAACTCGTCATATCTCCTCTCCCTTTCTCTCACTGGGCACTCGCTCACCTCTTGCCAGAGTCCGGATGGGTACACAGTGGTCTCAGCTGCTGCTGATGAGACGCTGCGATTCTGGAATGCATTTGGGGACCCCGATGGAGATAAGAAGGGAGGGAAGGGTGGGGGAAGAGGATGTGAGAGGCGCATTGGGGGAGGAGGGGGCGTTGCGGCATGTGATGAAGACGGTGTTGCCTCTGCACGCTGCTCGTTGCTGCGGTCTCACATTCGTTAATGCTTATGTCATGTGGTGCTCGCCTGAGAGACTGCACAGTATTCGAGCTGGCTATTAGGTGTTAGGACCACCAAGCAATTACACTAAAGCGACAGACAGCAGTGCATGAAATTTTAGGGGAGCTTCACGTCGACCATAGGTGTGTGGATGGCAAGCACGCGGAGGTAGCAAGGGTATAGCTGTGCTTCATAATTGTTCTGCACAAAGTCATGGTAGCGTGGAGAAATTGTTCCATGCTCCATTTATACGCAGTCAGTTGCCTTTTTAGCATGTGACTTATTATTATATGGAGATTTTATGTAAGAAGCATTCAACCTTCTCTTACAGCATTGCTGGTTAGCCAGCTGTTGGATTCTGCACCACATCTTTCAGGAAACATGGCTTTGTAGCTCACGTGGATACTGCTGGGGGTGACGCGATGGTGACGCATTTTTGACAAGGTAGCAAGGGTACAGTGCGCACCATAGAGTGCTTTTGTCTGATTGGCCAGTCGACGTTTCACGTGCACAACTGCAGAGCGCTCTATTGTGTACACACCCATCCGCAAGCAGAACACAGCTCCTCACGAGTTTCTGCCGTGCTGGGTTTTGTGATAACGCGTATGCCCCCCTTACCTCGTCGCCATTCATGTGCGGCATTTTCTAGGTAGGTAGGAGTGATAGGTAGAGGCTCCATTTTCCATTGCTGGACATTCATCCCCTGGTCTGGAATCTTGCAATCGTGCAACCTCAGTCTATATCCACTCTGTTTATTCTTACCGCGTCTAGTTAGTAGATTTCGAGCCCTGCCGATGATACATGGGTGTGAAGAACGTCACTGCGCTAATATACTACATTAATTGAACCCCCTTGGTTACCCCTCTTAGCGTGTCCGCATAATCCTCGATTGCGTTTCTTTGCTCTAGCCGTCTCTATCAGTGCTGTCGTATTTTTTGTCGAACAGCGAACGACACGAAGACTCGACTCTGAACAAATTAGCCCTTCTCGGCGTTACGAACCGTGTGCGACGCTGACAAGTAGCAGCAGGTTCATGCGACAACCGTTTGCCTGATGACGATATCGTCATCCGTCGAGCGACTGCTCACTGTCCAACACTGTACGATACGAAACCCGGCCGTTTTTGCCGCACGCCCTATCTATTCTAGACGCTCTTGTCCCCCATTTCTTCCAGGCAGAATTTACGTTCAAGCAATGCTTCCTCCTCGGCCCCATTGTCCTACCCATTGTCCAAAGTTCCATATCCACTTTTTCCGCACCCGTTTATCCCCTAACAATCTTTTCCCGCCCATTGCTCCCGCGCATGTGTTTTGTGTGTCGCATGCATCGCACGTCGCATCGCAGACGACTGGGCGGACGAGATATTACTCATGGTGCGTCCCTCTCTACCCTCTCTACCCTCCTCCCATTTTCCCCTGTTCCCTCACTGCGACCCCGCCCTTCCGAGCCGCCTCGTTGTGTGAAGTTTTTGTGTTGTTTCAACTCGTCATGCGACACTGCGACCTTCGGAAGCCGTGCTCGCTCACTCGCTGCAACTGCCATCAAATTCACCTCCATTCCACGCCAATCACTGCGTGTGCGTGCGTGCCAACTCCTCACCCACACAATCCCCCATTCTCTCTGCGCAATCCATGCATTCCGTGCATTGCGTGTATTGCGTGCCTTGCGTGCGTGGTGCGCATTCCTTCCATGCCCGGCGGCGGCGGCGGCGGCGGCGGGGGCGTGTGCGAGCAGGGGCAGGAGCCGATAAAGTGGGACCTGGAGGAGATGGAGCGGCACCTGGCAGAGCCCAACTTCAACGGCGAGCCCGCCAAGGTGCGCCCCCCTACCCGCCAAGGTGCGCCCCTCCGCCCGCCAAGGTGCGCCCCCCCTGCCCGCCAAGGTGCGCCCCTCCGCCCGCCAAGGTGCGCCCACCCACCCGCCCGCCAAGGTGCGCCCACCCACCCGCCCGCCAAGGTGCGCCCACCCACCCGCCCGCCTAGGTGCGCCCACCCACCCGCCCGCCAAGGTGCGCCCACCCACCCGCCCGCCAATGTGCCCCCCCCGTCCGCCAAGGTGCGCCCCTCCCGCCCTCCCACCTGCCCAGTCTTGCCACATGCCCCGATCATCCCGCACAGGGCGAGCCGGGAGTTGGGGGAAGATGAGGTGAGGTGAGGTGAGGTGAGATGAGGTGAGGTGGGTTGGGGCAGAGTGGGTTGGGATGGGGTGAAGTACAGCCTCGCTTACATGGCTCAGAGATTATTCACACACCCATTCACACAGACGATGCTCGTATTCTTGTTGTGTCACCATCACGACCACCACGCGTCATCCTGTGCCAGGTGGCGATCTTCTACTCGTGGTTCGACAGCTGCTTCTACCCTCTCGTGCGCTCCCATCTGGAACACCGTGACAAGCTGCTTCTGCCCGCCCTTACCGAGAGAATCAAAGGTGGGGCGGAAAGTGGTGATGTGCAGGGTGCAAGGGTGCACGGATGCATGGTTGCAAGCGAGGCCAGGACTGCTCACTGTTGTAAAGGGTAGGTCCAAAGGCGGGCAGGTGCTTAGGGCCCCTTGCAGAGTCACTGGAAGCCCACAGGTGGTTGATAAAGGCGTGTCTGCCATCATAGGAACACACACACACAGATGCACACTTGAGCACACACATATGTGCTCTACAGGTCAGATTTCCAGGACTCTCTCTCGTCAAATCCTCTCCGCATACACCCCACACCCCCCCCCCCCCCCCCCCCTCCCCCTCCCCCTCTCCCCGATCCTCCCCTTTCCTCCGTCTACCTCTCAGAGCGGCCCCCGAACGAGGTATCAGCGCCGCTGTTCCAGGCCATAGAGCTGATGGACGAGGTGAAGCACATGCGTGCTGACTTTGACCACGCGCAGATGGACGACCGCCCCAACGTCGCTGGTGCGTGCCTTGCTTCGAGGGCTTTGTGGGAAGGGAGGGAGGGAGGGAGGGAGGGAGGGAGGGAGGGAGGAGGGAGGGAGGGAGGGAGGGAGGGAGGGAGGCGGGAGGGAGGGAGGGAGGGAGGGCGGGAGGGAGGGAGGGAGGGAGGGAGGGAGGGAGGGAGGGAGGGAGGGAGGGAGGGAGGGAGGGAGGGAGGGAGGGAGGGAGGGAGGGAGGGAGGGAGGGAGGGAGGGAGGGAGGGGGAGGGAGGGAGGGAGGAGGGAGGGAGGGAGGAGGGAGGGAGGGAGGGAGGGAGGGAGGGAGGGAGGGAGGGAGGGAGGGAGGGAGGGAGGGAGGGAGGGAGGAGGGAGGGAGGGAGGGAGGGAGGGAGGGAGGGAGGGAGGGAGGGAGGGAGGGAGGGAGGAGGGAGGGAGGGGAGGGAGGGAGGGAGGGAGGGAGGGAGGGAGGGAGGGAGGGAGGGAGGTGCGGGGAAGGGAACACGAAGGCGAAGGAAGGAGAAGCATTGGCGGCGTTGCGCCAGGGGGAATCAAACAGGCAGTTTGCTGTGCGTGTGGCTTGTACGTCTTGACTTCCTGTTGTTTGGTCATACTTCCCTCTTATCTATCCCCAATCGCCCTCACCTGCCCCTTTCCCCCATGTCGCTTCCCCTGCCTCATTCATCCTCCCTCGGTCCCTCAGAGGTGTTGCGGCAGAAGCTGACTCAGCTGTCGCGCATCTTCCACCGGCAATTCGATGCTGAAATGGACTTCTACCCTTGTACGTGACGTGGTGGGGGAAGGATGAGGGGGGAGGATGGGGAGGGGTAGTAGGAAGGTGGAGGAAAGGCAGAGGAAGGTCAAAGGAAGAAGAAGCTTTTTAAAGTTCAAACACCACTGCCATGCTGTCATTATACGGAACAACAGTAGTTCGTATGGTGTTGAAACGGGTCGGGGTGGACACCTGAATGGTTAGATGGCGGAATGGAGTGGATGGCGCAAGGAGTGTATGGTTAGATACTGAGTGGGTTTGTTCTGGTGGTTCAGGCTGGTACAGGTGGAACGAGTACTGCAATAAGGCTTGCACAGTGAGATGGTTCTGAATTTGCAGTCAGTGCAATGATTTCCTAGTTCTCCCCCCTTCCTGCCCCTCAGTCCTCCTACGTTGTCTCCCTTCCTGTCCTCTCCTGTCCTCTCCTCTCCTCTCCTCTCCTCTCCTCTCCTCTCCTCTCCTCTCCTCTCCAATTCTCTCCTCTCCTCCCCTTCCCACCCCTTCTGCATCTCCCCAACCACCAGCGAGGGTGCGGCATGCGTTCATGCCCACGGAGGCAGAGAGCATTCTGGTGGAGGCGGAAAGCCACGTGGGATTCTTCCTCGCTTCCACTCGCCTTCCCTGGATCTTCCATGGTCTCGAGAGGTAGGCTGTGTGCTGCTTCAGTGCGGACGGTTGGTGGGATGCAAGTGCATGCACGGGCATGTGTGCGCATGCACATGGGTGCATGTGGCATGTGTGTGCATGTGTGCATGCGCAGCGTTCATGCATGTGTGTGTGCATGTGGTTTGCAAGATTGCATATGTGCTTGCATGTGTGCTCGTGTGTGCGCACGCATGCATACACGTGTGTGTCTCTCCCATCTCCTCCCGGCCCCTTTTCGACTGCCCCCATTTATACTTCCTTCAACCCACCCGCTTCACTGCATGCTTAAACCTTTTCCTCTCAACATCCTGGCCTGGCCTTCCGCATATCACATCTCTTCGTCCCCACTGCCCCCATCCCAGGTGGGCAAGTCCGGGCAAGCCTGAGAAGTTTTTGGAGCAGCTACCGTGGGTGCACAGGTTGCTGCTGGAGTACTGGTGGGAGCCGGTGTACCTGCGCTGCAACTGGCTGCTGCTGCAATCACTAGCTGACCCCGTGGAGGAGGATAAGCTGTGACAAGCGTGGTGTGCACAATTTCTTGCTGTCAACTCAAAAACCGGCTACCGCTGCTGCAGTCACTTGCAGAAACAATGGAGGATGAGCTCCGAGAGGCGTGGTGTGTGGTGTACACCAGTAGTACCGCACCTGGTAATGGAACAGACTGTAATGTAGCAGACCAGCGTGTACAGTGAGATTGTTTTGTTCAAATTTAGATTTGTCAGAAACATGTTACAACCTGGGGAAAAAAAATACCAGGGATGGTGTGGTGTTACTTTGCATCATCGCGTGGGATGCAACTTTCAGAGCCAGCAGGCAAAAGTGCAATGTTTGGCGTGTACCATCTTCCCCCGTCACGTGGCATGTCTCATGCATTGGACCAGCGGTGTTAGGGTACATTCCGCTGTGGACACATGTCCCAATCGATGTGTCCCAATCGAGTGTACCGCTCCGAACCGAACTAAACCAGAGACGCGAAAATTTCGAAACTAGGGTGCAATTTGGTGTAATACGATGCAGTGCGGTAGAAACGATTGGGACACATCGATTGGGACATGTGTCCACAGCGGAATGTACCCTTAGCAAAGGCAATGCTAACCCTACGCGCACGCATCATGGAAGCCAACAGCAACGCTACCAGCTCCAACCCAATACACCTGCCCCTCAGTGCACCCAGGGCTGGAATTAATGGCAGCTATAGAGAATGTGGTGCTCACACATTAGAACACCCACGGCTGTTACCTCACATCTTCACCGCATGGTGCCGACTCACCTCATATCTGCAACCCATGGCGTCGACTCGCCTCACATCTGCACCCCATGGCGTCGAATCACCTCACATCTGCACCCCATGGCGTCGAATCACCTCACATCGCCACCTCATAGTGTCAACTCACCTCACATCTCCACAACATGCTGTCGACACACCCTCACATCTACACCGCATGGTGCCAATTCACTTCACATCGCCACTGCATGGCGTTGACTCACCTCAGGCAGCATTAGTTGAGTAGGGGGCTCACTGGTGCAGCATAAGTTGAGTATGAGGCTCACCGGTCCAGCACGAGTCGAGTGGGACGCTCATCGGTGTAGTATAAGTTGAGTGGGAGGCTCATCGGTTAGAGTTGACTCGTAGGTTTGATGGGACTAGTAGGTTCGAGGTGACTAGTAGGTTTGAGGTGACTAGTAGGTTCGAGGTGACTAGTAGGTTTGAGGTGACTAGTAGGTTTGAGGTGACTAGTAGGTTCGAGGTGACTAGTAGGTTTGACGTGAATAGTAGGTTTGAGGTGACTAGTAGGTTTGAGGTGACTAGTAGGTTTGATGTGACTAGTAGGTTTGAGGTGACTAGTAGGTTTGATGTGACTAGTAGGTTTGAGGTGACAAGAAGGTTTGAGGTGACTAGTAGGTTTGAGGTGACTAGTAGGTTCGAGGTGACTAGTAGGTTCGAGGTGACTAGTAGGTTTGATGTGACTAGTAGGTTTGAGGTGACTAGTAGGTTTGAGGTGACTAGTAGGTTTGATGTGACTAGTACCGTAGGTTTGAAGTGAATCGTAAATTTGAGTTGAAGTCGGTTGGAGGTCAGGTTTGAGGGATGTTTGAGGTCAGGTGTGACGTCAGGTTTGACGTCAGGTTTGAGGTCAGGTTTGAGGTCAGGTTTGATGTCAGATTTGAGGTCTGGTTTGAGGTCGGTTTGAGGTCCGGTTAGACGTCAGGTTTGACGTCAGGTTTGAGGATAGGTTTGAGGGTCAGGTTTGAGGCTAGGTTTGAGCTCAGGTTTGAGGTCAGGGTTGAAGTCAGGTTTGATGTCAGGTTTGAGGTCAGGTTTTACGCCAGGTTTGACGTCAGGTTCGAGGGAGGTTTGAGGTCAGGTTTGACGTGAGGTTGGAGGTCAGGTTGGAGGTCAGGGAGGTCAGGTTGGAGGTCAGGTTGGACGTCAGGTTTGACGTCAGGTTTGACGTCAGGTGTGACGTCAGGTTTGATGTCAGGTTGGAGGTCAGGTTTGATGTCAGGTTTGACGTCAGGTTTGAGGGAGGTTTGAGGTCAGGTTGGAGGTCAGGTTTTAGGTCAGGTTCGACGTCAGGTTTGACGTCAGGTTTGACGTCAGGTTGGAGATCACGGGGTCAGGTTTGGGATCAGGTTTGACGTCAGGTTTGAGGTCAGGTTTGAGGTCAGGTTTGAGGTCAGGTTTGAGGGAAGTTTGAGGTCAGGTTTGATGTCAGGTTTGACATCAGGTTTGACGTCAGGTTTGAGGTGAGGTTCGACGTCAGGTTCGAGGTCAGGTTTGACGTCAGGTTTGATGTCAAGTTTGAGGTCAGGTTTGAGGTCAGGTTTGAGGTCAAGTTTGAGGCCAGGTTTGACGTCAGGATTGAGGTCAGGATTGAGGTAAGGTTTAAGGTCAGGTTTGAGGTCAGGTTTGACGTGAGGTTTGACGTCAGGTTGGAGGTCAGGTTTGGGGTCAGGTTTGACGCCAGGTTTGACGTCAGGTTTGAGGTCAGGTTTAAGGGAAGTTTGAGGTCAGGTTTGAGGTCAGGTTTGACGTCAAGTTTGATGCCAGGTTTGAGGTCAGGTTTGAGGTCAGGTTGGAGGTCAGGTTTGAGGTCAGGTTTGACGTCAAATTTGACGTCAGGTTGAAGGTCAGGTTGGAGGTCAGGTTTGAGGTCAGATTTGACGTCAGGTTTGATGTCAGGTTTGAGGTCAGGTTTGACGTCGAGTTTGACGTTAGGTTTGAGGTCAGGTTTGAGGTCAGGTTTGAGGTCAGGTTTGAGGTCAAGTTTGGCGCCAGGTTTGAGGTCAGGTTTGACGTCAGGTTTGAGGGAGGTTTGAGGTCAGGTTTGACATCAGGTTTGACGTCAGGTTTGATGTCAGGTTTGAGGTCAGGTTCGATGTCAGGTTTAAGGTCAGGTTTGACGTCAAGTTTGACGTTAGGTTTGAGGTCAGGTTTGAGGTCAGGTTTGACGTCAGGTTTGAGGTCAGGCTTGAGGTCAGGCTTGACGTCAGGTTGAGGTCAGGTTTGAGGTCAGGTTTAGGTTTGACGTCAGGTTTGACGTCAAGTTTGACGTCTGGTTGGAGGTCAGGTTGAAGGTTAGGTTTGGGGTCAGGTTTGGGGTCAGGTTTGACGTCAGGTTTGAGGGAGGTTTGGGGTCAGGTTTGACGTCAGGTTTGACGTCAGGTTTGACGTCAGGTTTGAGGTCAAGTTTGAGGTTAGGTTTGACGTCAGGTTGGAGGTCAGGTTTGATGTCAGGTTTGAAGTCACGTTTGAGGTCAGGTTTGAGGTCAGGTTTGACGTTAGGTTTGACGTCAGATTAGATGTCAGGTTTGATGTCAGGTTTGACATCAGGTTGGAGGTCAGGTTGGAGGTCAGGTTTGAGGTCAGATTTGACGTCAGGTTTGAGGGACGTTTGAGGTCAGGTTTGACGTCAAATTTGACGTCAGGCCTGATGTCAGTTTTGATGTCAGGTTTGACGTCAGGTTGGAGGTCAGGTTGGAGGTCAGGTTTGATGTCAGGTTTGACGTCAAGTTTGACGTCAGGTTTGACGTCAGGTTTGACGTCAGGTTTAACATCAGGTTTGACGTCAGGTTTGACGTCAGGTTTGACGTCAGGTTTGACGTCAGGTTTGACGTCAGGTTTGACGTCAGAATTGACGTCAGGTTTGACAGCAGGCTTGACGTCAGGTTTTACGTCAGGTTTGAGGTCAGGTTTGATGTCAGGTTTGACGTCAGGTTTGAGGTTAGGTTTGACGTCAGGTTTGATGACAGGTTTTACGTCAGGTTGGAGGTCAGGTTGGAGGTTAGGTTTGGGGTCAGGTTTGACGTCAGGTTTGAGGGAGGTTTGAGGTTAGGTTTGAGGTCAGTTTTGAGGTCAGGTTTGAGGTCAAGTTTGAGGATAGGTTTGACGTCAAGTTGGAGGTCAGGTTTGACGTCAGGTTTCAGGTCAGGTTTGAGGTCAGGTTTGACGTCATGTTTGAGGTCAGGTTTGACGTCACGTTTGACATCAGGTTTGATGTCAGGTTTGAGGGAGGTTTGAGGTCAGGTTTGACGTTAGGTTTGACGTCAGGTTTGACGTCAGGTTTGACGTCAGGTTTGATGTCAGGTTTGACGTCAGGTTTGACGTCAGGTTGGAGGTCAGGTTGGAGGTCAGGTTTGAGGTCAGGTTTGACGTCAGGTTTGAGGGAGGTTTGAGGTTAAATTTGGGGTCAGGTTTGACGTCAGGTTGAAGGTCAGGTTGGAGGTTAGGTTTGAGGTCAGGTTTGATGTAAAGTTTGATGTCAGGTTTGAGGTGAGGTTTGACGTCAGGTTTGAGGTCAGGTTTGAGGTCAGGTTTGAGGGCAGGTTTGAGTTCAGGTTTGAGGTCAGGTTTGAGGTCAGGTTTGACTTCAGATTTGATGTCAGGTTTGAGGTCAGGTTTGACAACAAATATGACGTCAGGTTTGACGTCAGGTTTGACGTCAGGTTCGACATAAAGGTTTGACGTCAGGTTTGACGTCAGGTTTGACGTCAGGTTTGAGGTCAGGTTTTACGTCAGGTTTGAAGTCAGGTTTGAAGTCAGGTTTGACGTCAGGTTTGAGGGAGGTTTGAGGTCAGGTTTGAGGTTAGGCCTGACGTCAGGTTCGACATCAGGTTTGACGTCAGGTTTGACATCAGGTTTGACGTCAGGTTGGAGGTCAGGTTGGAGGTAAGGTTTGGGGTCAGGTTTGATGACAGGTTTGGGGTCAGGTTTGACGTCAGGTTTGAGGTCAGGTTTTTAGGTCAGGTTTGAGGGAAGTTTGAGGTCAGGTTTGACGTCAGGTTTGAGGTGAGGTTCGACGTCAGGTTCGAGGTCAGGTTTGACGTCAGGTTTGAAGTCAGGTTTGACGTCAGGTTCGACATCAGGTTTGACGTCAGGTTTGACATCAGGTTTGACGTCAGGTTGGAGGTCAGGTTGGAGGTAAGGTTTGGGGTCAGGTTTGATGACAGGTTTGGGGTCAGGTTTGACGTCAGGTTTGAGGTCAGGTTTTTAGGTCAGGTTTGAGGGAAGTTTG